ATATATTTTTTTTTTTTTTTTGTTGATTGAACGAAATGAAATTCAAAAATAAATCTTTACAAAGTTTGAATGAATTTATAATAGCAAGATTATACGGAATGGACGTTGGATAATCGTGCAATGATTGATTAACTGGGCGCTATTACGATAAAGTTACGAGGACCCCACTCAAGGTTCATCTTTGTTCTTTTACAAATAAATTCGCCTTGTCAATCACAGCACGCTCTTCTCATTGTCATTTTAAACAACTTCAAAAGGGACAGAACTTCTCTCAATTCGGCCAATTACTTTTTTTTTCTTTTGTTTACCTTATGCGATACCTTGTTTTATTATATTTAAAATGCCAAACAAACTGACGACCCATCGTATGGAAAGTAGCAACCGTTGTTTATATCCATGATTAGTCACCATGGATATCACAGAGTGTACTATTTATTCGAACCTCTCTTCCCCATTGGATGTCGATTCTTACAAGCTATGTGAATACAAACAGACAATAATATAAACACACAAATATCCTCATAAACTTACGAATTTATGTAATAGCATTAAGGTACTATTAAAAAGAAATCACGACATCATCTGGTCATGGCCGGGTTGAATTAAAACCCGTAAATAAATCACCAAAGTATGTAAATGGCGAAGTAACCGCCATTTGTGCGCCGGCCGTGTAAATATTAAATTCGCGCGCGAAAACGGCGCCACGCCGCGCCGCGCCAGCCTGTAACTGGCGCGTGCTGTGTGAGCAATAAAAGCTGGTCATTATTGGCCGACTTCAAAAAAGAAATGATGTACTTATATTTACGATAATGTCTTAACACCGCCGTTGCCAGATTAGGGTTCCTTTTTTTTTTTTGAAAACGACCTTTTCTGAGTATTCTGAAATGTGTCCCCCTATATAAAAGGTATATATTTTTTCTTGAGGATAAAGCAATTAGTGTGATAGTGCAGTACTTGTTACTATTTATTCATTTATGGCAACTCGTAACCACGAGCGGTGTAACCTGGTCGAAACGTCGAGGTAACCCTAGATAAATTATCATATTTTCCCGTCTATGGAGTATTTCCTCCATGTTCCCGTCATAAATTATGTTGGCGTTTGTAATTTATTAAAACGTTCTCCTTAAGCTATTCTTATTATAGGAACACATGGGCTACAACGCTTGTACTAGAGTATTTTTCTGCCTTGCTGTTCATGACTATACAATTATTTATTTATTTATTTAAACTTTAATGCACAGTAAAATTCTATGTACATTTGGCGAACTTAACACCGGACGGTGTTCTCTACCAGCCAACTAATCTATCCACATATTTAGTGCATTTTGATTTTTTTTTATTCAACTTAGAATGGCAAACAAGCTGACGGCCCACCTGATGGAAAGTAGAAACCGTCGCCTATAGACATGAGCAGTACTATGGACATAACAGAGTATACTGTTTCGCCCATGATACCCCCCATGCGTTGCCTGCCATTCCTTAGGACTCAGGTGTTATTCCTCCGTACCCAGTAAATTCATGCCATATCCCACCCTTCGAACCGAAACACAGCCATGCAAACACAACTGCTTCACGGTTGAAACACGAATGGGACAGAAGTACCCAAGCAATCGACTTTTGTACAAAGTCTCTCTCTGATACGATTCGATGTTTAATAGATATTACGTTACATATAAGTATTGTATTTGTAAGTAATTTGCAAATATATAATTGTAGCTAACTTTCGTAACTTCTAGATTATATTATATACTAGCTTTAACGAAATAGCAGAAATATTGCTGGTGGAAGTTGATTCCAAAGAGTGGCTATGCGTGGAAGAAAGTGCCTTGGAAAGTAAATCTAAGAAATAAACGCTCATATTAATAAGTTATTTCTCTAAAAAATAAAAAAAAAATTAAAATTTAGGAAACAAAAATTAAGCAGTATTTTTGTTTTCTAAATTGTGTAATCTTTCCTTATTATTTTTCTTTATTACATTAAAAAAAAAAACACCGTTTGTATTAACCAATGCAAATTATTAGTATTCCTAGCGTTACTTTACAATATATAGCATTCGCCGTGTGGTCCCGGCATAGAATAGGCCATCTATACCTTTGTCGTAAGAGGCGACTAAGGAAATTTAACGATGGAAGCGGCGAATTGATTCTGGCGGAGCACCAGTGAGAGATGATAGGTGAGGATGAAGCAGGTCAGTGAGCCCATTGTAAAAAAATCAACAAGAATTGTTCCCGGTGGTTTCCAGGGGGAACCACGTGGAGGTCGACCTAATAGGGTATATTGCTAGCAATAGAGCTGTCAAACTCTATCGCTAACAATTCCTTTCCCCCCTTTATTTTCAATTCGATAATAATTTTTCGAACAATTTTGTTTGACGATACAACTCTATACAATGAAGTACTCTTTCTCATTGCGATAAATCTTAGCGGGTAGCGGGGGGAAAAGGTAAAGCCACGCCCAAATTAGTGCAAGGTCAAGTACAATTGAAACGATTAAGAAATAAAATTTACTGAGGTATTAATAAAAGTAATAAAATTAAAAAAAAAATACAAATTTACCTGTTTGCATGTTTATTCTAGCATTAACTAAAAATTACTGTATCACATTGAATGCAATATTCACAGTTGTATTTCTGAAAGTCGATCTTAAAATCTAATGTATGTTTTATATTGACATCTGCGGGTCTACATGAAATTTCGGACTCAATTTCGTGTTTTTGTTTATACCAAAATCGGACCAATAAATGGGGTTTAACATTTCGTTCGTCATACATCCTATCATAAAAGTTCAAAGGAACAACATTTTAACATTTTTTTTAATGTTTCCAAATGGCATGTATTATGTAATTTTAACATCAAATTTCTGTTTCGTTTGGTTCCGAAAATTCGGAAAACATTTCATGGTCCCTCTGATTCGTCTATTTAATTGGTTTTTTTACTTCGAAAATTCATACGTACAAAGTCGCGGGTAAAAGCAAGTTAAAGTAATGAAATAAGACCTACGTAAAATAGAAACTTTAAACACTCGGTCCTCTCTACCTACCTCGTAACGAGTCTAGTATTAAGATATATACTTAATAAAAGAGTGATAATAATATAATTACTCCTCTCCATCCAAAGGTTGCCTGGAAGAGATCGCTCTTAGCGATAAGGTCGCCCATTGTTTTCTCATTGTGATTATTTCTTGTAATTGTTTATATTTATAACAAGATAGATAGATAGATACTCTTTATTGTTTCCTCCAAAAGATTACAATAGTAAACTTATTATAAATATAAATAATTACAAGAAATAATCACAGTGAGAAAACAATGGGCGACCTTATCGCTAAGAGCGATCTCTTCCAGGCAACCTTTGGATGGAGAGGAGTAATTATAAACAATTTGGTGGGAGGCACGATGAAAAATTCTGTTAGTTCTAAATATGGGAGATATGATACATATAATAATATAAATATTAATTAAATAAGTTTACTATTGTAACCTTTTGGAGGAAACAATAAAGAATATCTATCTATCTATAATTTAATCAATTATATTATCACTTTTAAGCGACCCGAAATATGTTTACTAACCGAGATAAAAAGTAGCTCTATCTCTTTTTCTACATAGTACGTATAATAATACCATAAATTTCATAATAATTGCTTAAGCTATTAAACCGCTATAAGGTAACAGAGGTTTCTTCAGGATCGGCAACGCGCGCGAAATACCTCTAGTGAGGGAAGGGATTATTAGTAATGGGAAGTTTAGTCCCCATCGCTATCAATATACCCTATCAGGTCGACATCCACGCGGTTCCCCCTGGAAACTATCGTGACTAATTTATCGATAAATTCGTCACGATGGACTAACTGACCTGCCTTTTCATCCTCACCTATCACTTCTCAGTGGTGCCCTGCCGGTGTATACCGATGGCGCAGGCGGAGTTACCATGACATTTTCACCCATTTAAAAAAAAATACCCTGTGGTATTGCAGGCGTTCATAGACTACGGTAACCGCTTACCATTAGGTGGGTAGTATACTTGTTTGCCACCACAGTGGTATAAAAAAACTAGCAAATATTTTTAAAAAATTTTACATTTATAATATTAAGAAAATAATATTTATGATTGTTAATTTGTAAACTTAAGCGTTAACTTTAAACTTTAAAATGTGTACTGAACACGTGTTAGGACATATATCATTTTAAACAACTCTCTAAACGCTCCCCACTTGTGTCGGTTTAAATTAATTTCAATGATTTATAATGTACCATTAATTCCATCTATTAATCTTGAATAATTCAGTTAGAATACAATTTATTTATTTATTATTAATAAAAAAAGATATTAATTTTGTGTTCTCCCTAATTTTTGTATATTATTTTTACATTTTAGTTCAAAAAATTTCTTTTTCATTTTTTCATTTTATTCATATCGTTAAATATTGTTATTGTAAATACTATGATTATATTAAAATAAATAAATAATGTCAAAATAAATGAATTAAATAGTTTTAAAAAATAAGTGATAATATTACTTAAACACGAAAAAAAATATTAATAATATAAATTAATAAAAGAAAATTATCAAACTGAAATATATTTAAAATTTTTACAAGTAATCTTTAACCTACTTATAAAATAAAAACAATCTAATAAATAAATGAAAGAATTAAAAAAGACTTTAATTAATAAACTTATTTATTAAATAAATAAATAAATAATATTTTTACATTTAATAATATATATTTTACTTAGTACACAAAATTACAATAAAGATCTATAAATAATATACAAAAAAAAAAATTAGTAAGTATATTAATCGTCAATTAAAAAAAAACACATTTAAATATAAAAATTAATTTATTAACAGAAACATTTCAAACAAAACGTGAATTTTACAAAGAAATATATTTTAATAAACATTCAAAACAAGATAAAAATAGATTGCAAGAAAAGAAAACAGCAAAATCGTGAACATGCACGGTAAGCGGATATATAGTTAAGGTGCAATACTCACCCGTCGGTACGCCGTCAGGTTAACTTATAAAATTCTAAAAAAATTTAATTTAGAAAAAATGCGAACGCGCGGCGCGGCGCGGCGCTGTTGCGGCAAGGCGCGGTGCGCGGCGGGCGCGCGGCCCGCCAGCGGGCGAGGGTTTGGCGGTGCGGCGCGGCGGCGCGGCGCGACACGTCCGCAGCGGCGCGCGTAGGCGTCTGTCTGGGCAGGGCCACGGGCCGACCCCCGCGCCGCGCCGCTGCCTTCAAAAACGCTAAGTGTACGCCCGCGGTCTCGCTGCGTAGCGGCTAATTTCACGTCAGCTTTCAGCTTACGTGTTGACGTTACGCTATTGTGAACATTTTGTTATTATCTACATGAAACGACGGGGATAACACTATCTGTTTGAATGTATTCAACTAGCTGTTACTCCCGGCTTCAGTCGTGCCAGACTTTTCTAGCCATACCGTGGAAATTTCAGAAATCTGTACTTAGAGCTCTCTAGATATAACATGCATAATAAATTGAAAAAATGTTTAATGACCGAGCGGTTTAAATTTTGAATTGATTATACTTAATCATTTTTTTCTAAGTATTTCAAAGTACCCGTATCCCGCGGCTTTGGTAATCTAGCAATGTACCAAATTTCATTGAAATGTACTTAAAAATGATTGAGCAAGGAAAATTTAAACATCTTTGCAACATTCCCTATTTATATTAGTAAGGTTTAGTAAATTAAGAGAGATCATCGAGAACTGTACCACCTTAGGAGACCACTAAGGTCTCCTGGTCCAAAATTCTAACATTCAGGGGGCCCACCATATAAATTTGTATGTCTAACTGAACGTAAAAGTCATGAACACCGCTAACAAAAACGAACCTTATTCCTGCAGCGTAACGGTCGTGATTCGTATAAAATCAGATCAAACTATGTTTGATTGCTTGACCTTAACAATTATTGCTCAAAACGAATACCACTGTACAGTGAACTCATCAATCATTCTTATATAAGTAATATCAAAGATTGATGAAAGAAATTTAAGAATTAATAAATGCTACAGAATAAATAAATAAATAAATATACTGTACTTACAATTATATTAAACAAAAAATTTACATAAAATTGTATAAAATGACATAAAATGACTTACACTTTTCTTTCCCATGGCTATTGTAAGAGGCGACTATGGGCATTAATGGGATGGAGATGGGAGGAATGGGCAGCAGCGTCCCTATTTAAACATCACCAAACTCTATCTGTGGTAACCAATCAATGCTAACCCGCCTGCTGAGCGTGGCAACTACTGGCAAAACTCCCCTTATGGGGAAGGCTTATGTCCAGCAGTGGACAGTTAACGGGTGAAATAATAAAAAAGTAAAAGTCATGAACACCGCTAACAAAAACGAACCTTATTCCTGCAGCGTAACGGTCGTGATTCGTATAAAATCAGATCAAACTATGTTTGATTGCTTGACCTTAACAATTATTGCTCAAAACGAATACCACTGTACAGTGAACTCATCAATCATTCTTATATAAGTAATATCAAAGACTAATAAATTTTACCAGAGGGAGACTTTGTACAAAAGTCGATTGCTTGCATACCTCTGTCCCATTCGTGTTTCTACTGTGAAGCACTTGTGTTTACGTGGCTGGTTTCAGTTTGAAGTGTGGGATATGGCGTGAATTTACTGGGGGGTACCATGGGCGAAACAGTATACTCTGTTATGTCCATGGTACTGCTCATGTCTATAGGCGACGGTTACCACTTTCCACCAGGTGGACCGTCAGCTTGTTTGCCGTTCTAAGTAACATAAAAAAAATTCTACAGCAAAAAAAATATAAATAAATAAATAAACTGTAATTTCAATTATATTTTTCGTAACAAATAACTCTGAAAACTTTATTCCAAGCTCCCGCTTATCTCAGATCTGTCTGCGATTTTAAATAGAAATATAAGATATTAAAGAAAAATACAGCGTCAGCAGAAGGTAAATGTTGAAATGTATTCAAAGTTCTTTTTAGGGTTTTGTATTTAAATGGTATATTTTATTTAACTAGTATTTTACCTGTGACTACGTCCACATAACCTGGATCATCGTCATCATGTCAGCTTTTAACTGTCCATTGCTGAACGTAAGCCTCCTCCCTAAAGTGTTTTGCCAGTAGTTGCCACGCTTGGCAGGCGGAATGGCAACCGCAGTAAGGCTTCTGGATGATATTTTAAGAGGGACGCTGCTGCTCATATCTCCACCATAAGCTCCCTTAGTCGGCTCTTACGACACCCACGGGATAGGAAGGGGTGGCCTATTCTATTCCGGGATCTAGACAGCTAATCTAAATGGTATATCAAGACAAAACATATACCAGTTTTCAAGTTTAACCTTCTTATATCTATGAAAACCGCATCTAATTTGATGTCACTTGTTGCATGGTACTATAACAAACATACAGACAGACAGACGAAAATTCTAAAAAATAGTCTGTAATTTAAAAATGTAATGACCTTTTACTTTGAAACATGGCTACCAAGGAGGTAACTAATACAAGGTTTTATTTAAATTTCGAACTGGCTTGCAAATAGAAAGCTGTTTATTGAAAAAAAACAAAGGAATATTATGGCGCGTGAAAAATTATTATTGTTCGTTATTCGTCATTGAACTTAAAAAGTAAAATTGTGTTTTTGGTTTAAGGAAAGTATTATACAAGCCTTGGCCACAACTAGGCATTGATGGACTCACGTATGTGTGCCTCGGCTTCGCCTCGGCCCACATTTGCACGTTCGTCCATCAATGCCTCAGTTGCTGGCCGCTGCAGTAATGTACTATTTTTTAATATTTTATGTACAGTTATATTTTTTTATATTAGTAAAATGGTATAAAAGGCGACTAAAGGAATAATACACTATACATAGTGTTCGAGAAGGAAAACTTGAAATAAAACCCCGTAACAAGCCATCTGACCATAGTAATAATAGGCTATTATCCATCCACTTAGGAGATACTCGTGCTCAGTATTAGAAGCTTAATCTTTAGGATATTAATATCTTCATTATAGTTTCCGTAGGTATTTATTACAGGTTCTCCATGGTTCCCCATGGTACGATTTCAAATATTTGTACAGTCTGAGCACTGAAATATACACTTGGAAATGCCTACTATGGTGAAAGAATTAGAAACGTACAAATTGGGATCTGGAAGACAAATCAGGTATAGAGGGAGACCACCGGACAGAGACTCATCAGAGGAAGACTTTGTACAAAAGTCGTTTGCTTGGGTACCTCTGTCCCATTCGTGGTTAACCTTTTCTTGGTCCCCCCTGGAAACCATCGTGCTGAATACAAAGTGTATTTATCATGATGGGCTACCTGACCTACCTTTTCATCTTCACCTATCATTTCTCATTGGCGTACGGCCAGTGTATACCGTTAGCGCAGGTGGGGTTACCATTCCATTTTCATTCATTTAAATGGTTGTGTTTCGGTTTGAAGGATGGGATATGGCGTGAATTTACAGGGTACAGAGGAATAACATCTGAGTTCTCAGGAATGGCAATGCATGGGGGTATCATGGGCGAAACAGTATACTCTGTTATGTCCATGGTACTGCTCATGTCTATAGGCGACGGTTACCACTTTCCATCAGGTGGGCCGTTAGCTTGTTTGCCATTCTAAGTTGTATAAAAAAAAAGTTAACGGTTCATATAATAATGATGATAATTAAAGTCATTAGCTTCCAGTAAAAGCAATGCGACGAACTTGCCATCAACCTCACTATGAAGCCATATCTATGGACATTCGTGCAGTGCAATAACATTGTTGGTTTACTAAGAAATTTAATAATTGTTAATTTAGCACTGCACGTACTAGGTCAATGTATCGCCCTAACAGTTTTGTATTAATTTCCTATATTTGTATTTTGTATATATTTATTTATTTTATTTATTTAACACTTTATTGCACCAACATAACAGGATTTGTTGAACAGTTTTCAATACGTATAGTGTAGTACAAAAGGCGGTCTTATTGCTAAGCAATCTCTTCCAGACAACCTTTGGGTAGAAGGAATTAAAGCATAAGTAAGTAAGTGACGCGTTAAAAGAAACAGATCCGTAGAAAATAATATATGTGACAGCATAGTCATATACACATACATAAATAAACACATACATCCAAATATATACATACACATACATATATAAATATATATACATACATACACATATACATACATATATACGCGAAAATACATACAAATATACCATAATACCACACATATATAACACACATAAAACTGTAAATACGTAGGACTAAATGATTATAAGGATAGGTAGTGGGATTTAATTAAGTTTTTAAAAATGGACAACGATTGAGCGCACCGTGTAGAGGTGGGAAGTGAGTTCCACAAACAATATAAGATCATTTTAATTTCTTAATTTTGTCAGTTATAACCGAGCCATTGGAAATATATATTTCCACAAACCTCGTCTCAATACAACCCGCAACCTCACAATGTCTTTAATATTTATGTTTATAGCCAATGGTAACCATTTTCCATTAAGTGGGCTGTCAGCCTAGATTAAGCACTATAGGATATCGCCCTGTTTTCCATTATACTACAAAAAAGGCCATTTTTTACGAGAATCCTGTTTATCGGATGGATTTTTTGTCTCGTCAAATGTTGTTGCTAATAGCACTTAAAATGCTGTGGAAAATATTTGTTAAAAATAAGAGATAGTTTTATTTTATAGCACTAAAGTGGCAGACAAGCATACGGCCCACCTGATGGTTAGCGGTTACAGTAGCCTATAAATGTTTGCACCTAATAACAGAGGTGTTAAATGCGCGTTGCCGACCCTGAAAAATTTCTTTACCAGAGGGAATAATGGAATCGTGTGGCTCCATTACCTACAATATACTCCATCAGATCGACCTCCACACGGTCCTCCCTGAAAATTAATCACGAAGGGCCGACTCACCTGCCTTCTTCCTCATCTATGATCACTCACTGGTGCTGCTCCAGCGTATACCGACAGCGCAGGCGAGATTAACATTCCATTGTTATTCCATTCACTCCACCTGCCGTGGGATGAAGCCATTAAAAAAATTAAAAATAAAAACTTTTTACTACATTTTTGAAGAACCCCATGCTCCATAGTCCTAATTGTGTTTATAGAATATGCTAGTA